AGGGTATTTTGAACAATTCCGACTATGGGACCTTTGTAAAAATATTCCTTAACAAATCAACGCTTGATGATCATTTAAACAAGACATTCTACCATGGTTAAAAAATTACTTTATCGTTTGTAAAAATTTAACTGTTTCGAGAAGGTTCTGCAAAAATTTTTAATTAAAAAATTTGTTAAAAGCAAGTTATTCTTAAAAATTGTTCTATACCACGTTTGAAAAAAAAAATAAAACAAATCATCCTTTAAAATATTTCAGTGTCCTTTGAAAACAATCATTAAAACAAACCATTTCAGAGGATCTTTCAAAATTTTTCCATTAAAATTCAAATAGGATCAAAGATATATTCTTTAAAAAAATCTCAACTGAGGTTGCTTTGTAAACCAATTCCTAGATAGGATTCTTTTTGAAAAATTCTGACTGGGAATCTTTCATAAAAATATTACCTAAACCCATATAAAATGTATAAACCTTTCTTAAAGTGTGTCCTTTGTAAAAATCTAGTTTGAAAATAATCGTTTTATAAAATGGTCCGATGTAAGCATCCTCGTTTAATGATCCCTAAAAAATCCTTTGGAAAACCGTCTTTTAAAATCTTTCTCTTGTCAAATGTTCCTAAAATATGATCCTTTGGAAAAATCATCATCCAAAATTGGCTATTGAATATCTGAAAACATCTTCATTAAATTCGACCTTTGAAAAGAATCAAGCTAGAAAATCATCTTTTTAAAAATTGGTCATTGCAAAGAAAAACACGATTTATGGTCCTTGGCAAAAAATATAAATAAAAGTTAAAAATACAAAAAGAAATTGGGACCAAGTTCGGACCACATCACTTCTTGCGCACCATCCAGCCAGACAAAGGGAACCCTCTTTTGAACATTCCTATTTTGACTTCAATTGTCCTGAAACGAATTGGCTCCAAAGAGATCTAGGTTCTAAAAACATTATTTCGATAAAGCAAGTTTTGAAAGTTCTGTAGCCAAATGGCTGAGGGTATAAAAAGAGATTCAACATTTTTAATTTGGGAGTTTTCTCTGGCCCACTTTGTTGCATATTGTGGACTTTTTTACAAAATATTGAGTACGTACACAACCTTATCTTAAAAAACAAGTAAGCGAAGGCTATAGTCGTGCGGGGCCGACCATGTGATACCCTACAACACTACAATATGTTAGAAGCCCCCTTATGCCGAAATCCATTTCGGAAGATGTCGCTTTTGAAATTATGTCACGAAACACTGCCCCGATATTACCCTTAGAATTTTGACCAGGGACATTTGGTCAATATTTACGCACTCCGTCGGCCTCTTAGTTGTTGTGGTCCATTTTACAGCGAAATATTATGGTCATTCAGAATGCTACAATTCTTCCCGGTCCTTAACTATCTTCTCAGGCGTGTCGATTGGCTTCGATTGTGTAATCAGAATTTTTTTTTTGTGTTTGGTTCATTTGAATCCCTAAATATTTTGCGAACAAGAACAAGAGGCCCCTCTGTATCTCCACATTAAGACTCATCTATATGAGTTGCTTGTCTACGATATTTGGCTCTATTCGTCAACGAAATCAGCATAAAAAAACCAGATGTTCGCCTTTTGTGTATTTCGTAATATTGTTATTTTTTTCACACAAAAGTAGCGGTCCATTCTACCGCTGTCCTAAACTCTAACTTCATGCGAGATTTCTTGTCATTTGGCTTCTATTTGTGACCTTTATAACGGCTACAAAATCAGGAACATTTTTAGTTGTTGGTCCATTTCAATACCTAAATATATTGCGGACATCTTTGAAAACAATAGGCCTATCCCTTCCAAGCCTAACCCTACCCTTGTGAAATTTTTCGTCAGTTTCGGACGATAATTTCAATATGTATACAATATCCCCAACCTGTGTTGTAAGGTGAAAAAAATATTAAACAAGTAAGCAAAGGCTATAGTCGTGCGGCGCCGACCATGTGATACCCTACAACACTTAATATGAAATTATGTGACGGAGCACTGCCCAGATATTACCCTTAGCATTTTGACCAGGGACATTTGCCCAATATTTACGCACTCCGTCGTATTTTGCGATCATCTCCAAAAGTAAGAGGCCCTTCTGTATCTCCAAATTTAGACTCTTCTATACGATCTTCTTGTCTACGATATTTGGCTATATTCGTCAACGAAATCAGCAAAAAAAAATGCAGAAGTTCGCATTTTGTGTATTTCGGATATCGTCTGTAAGTAATGTTGGTATTTTTCACACAAAAGTAGCGGTCCATTCTACCGCTGTCCTAAACTCTAACTTCATGCGAGATTTCTTGTCATTTGGCTTCTATTTGTGACCTTTATAACGGCTACAAAATCAGGAACATTTTTAGTTGTTGGTCCATTTCAACACCTAAATATATTGCGGACATCTTTGAAAACAATAGGCCCAGCCCTTCTGGGCCTATCCCTACCCTTTTCGTGAGGATCGGACGATAATTGCAATCTGTATATACCATCTCCAATCTGTATTGAAAGTTGAAAAAATATTACAAAATATACACTTCATTATCATAAGTCAAATTGAAAATCGCATGCGATAAAAATATGAAAAAAATCAAAAAAAAAAAAAAATGTCACAAAATACTACAAAATCTATGTTAATATCATTATTGGCATCTTTTTATGTGATTTTCTAAATTTTCGTGAAGGGGGCATTCTGAATTGACAAAGTTTGTCAAATTTGTCTTGAGATATAAGCATACTAGCTAACATCCCCTTCCTTTGTATATACACATTGTATATATTCCGCTATATATATATCCGATATATTTTCTATCGGAATCTACGTAACGGTCCGAATTGACCTGTTCGTCTATTTGTTATTTCGCCGGCATTAAAAATATTCGCGGTTTAATGGAAAAATTTACTTTTATTTATCACAAATGGTATGGTCTATTTCACCCACTAAATATTACCCGATGACCATCAAAATTGGAAGGCTTCTGCCCAGCCCTAAGCTCTAGCATCATGCTAACTTCCGCATCGATTGGTCTGTAATTGCGACCTGTAGAGCAACTGCAAAATCAGGGAATTTTTCAGTTTTTGGTCCATTTCAACTCCTAAATATTATGCGATCATCTCCAAAAGAAATAGGCTTCTATTCTGGCCCTAGCCCCAACTCCATTCTAAATTTCGTGAAGATCGGGCCATAATTGTGACCTGTAGAGGGATTACAAATTAACATGGACAGACGGAGAGATGGACATACGGACGGACGGACATTTATAGCAAGATCGACTCAGCTTGGTGAGATAGGAAGTTTCATATATACTTTTCTATGTGGGATACCAATATTTCGAGGTGTTACATAATTGTTGGCCCAATCAAACTTATAATACCCCCAAAACAAAGTGTTGTAGCGTATAAATATTTATTTATTTTTAAACCCTACAACACTATGTGTTGGGGGTATTATAAGTTTGATTGGGCCCAAAATTATGTAACACCACGAAATATTGATTTCACACATAGGAAAGTATATCTAGCTATGTATGTCCGTCCGTCCGTCTGTCCATCTGTCTATCTGTCCATGTTAATTTGTAATCACTCTACAGGTCGCAATTATGGTCCGATCCTCACGAAATTGAAAGTGGAGGTGGGGTTAGGGTCAGAATAGAACCCTATTTCTTTTGGAGGAAAAATTTCCTGATTTTGCAGTTGCTCTACAGGTCGCAATTATGGACCAATCAAAGTTAGCATGGAGCTAGAACTTAGGGCTGGGCAGAAGCCTTACAATTTTGATGGTCATCGAGTAATATTTAATGGGTAAAATAGACCATAACACTTGTGTTAAATGAAAGTCATATTTTCCATTAAACCGCGAAAAGATTTTATCGCGACGAAATCACAAACAGATGAACAGGTCAATTCTGACCGTTACGTCGATGCCAATAGTTAATATATATATAGCGAAATATATACAATGTATATATACAAAGGAAGGGGATGCTACCAAGAATGCTTATATCTCAAAAATGCCTGGACCGATTTTGACAAATTTTGTCAATTCGGAATGACCTCTTGGCATAAAAGAATAAAATCTAAAAAAATCGCATAAAAATATGTCAATAATGATGTTAATATAGGTTTTGTAGTATTTTGTGACATTTTTTATATATTTTCATATTTTTTATCGCATGCGATTTTTTCAATTTGACTTATAATATTGAAGTGTATATTTGTAATACTTTTTCATCTTACAACACAGGTTGGGGTTATTATATACAGATTGCAATTATCGTCCAATCCTCACGAAAATTTTCATAAGTGCAGGGTTAGGCTCAAAAGGGCTAGGCATATTGATATTAAAGATGTCCGCAATATATTTGGGGGTTGAAATGGACCAACAACTAAAAATGTTCCTGATTTTGCAGCCGTTATAAAGGTCACAAATAGAAACCAAGGACACGAAATCTCGCATGAAGTTAGAGTTTAGGACAGCGAGTAGAATGGACCACCACTTTTGTGTGAAAAAATACCAGAATTACTTGCAGGCGATATCCGAAATACACAAAGGACGAACTTCTGGCTTTTTTATGCTGATTTCGTTGACGAATATAGCCAAATTGACGAAAATAGCCAAATTTAAGGGGTTAAATGAACCAAAAACAGAAAAAAAATCATGATCACATAATTGAAGCCAATCGACACGCCTGAGAAGATAGTTAAGCACAGCGAAGAACTCAAGCATTTTGGATGACCATTGGATTATATTTAGCCGTAAAATGTGCATAAATATGTGAAAAATGTCCCTATTCAAAATGCTAAGGCTAATATCTGGGCAGTGCTCCGTGACATAATTTCAAAAGCGAAACCTTTCAAAATGGATTTGGACATAGGGGGGCTTCGAACATATTGTAGTGTTGTAGGATATCACATGGTCGGCCCCGCACGACTATAGCCTCTGCTTACTTGTTTTTTTTTTTTTTTTTGGTTTTGAAAAATAGTAGGTCCTCCCTGAATTAAAAGTCTGAAAAAATAAATTGAAAAAAATTCCCTTCAATTCGGAAAAATTGTTTTTCTTTTTTTTTTATTTTCTGTTGAAAACTATATTTTACTTTAACGAAATTTTAATAAAAAATAAAATGCAAACATTTCATATCGGCGAATTAGTAATTGATGGAAGCAAAAACAATGGTATCCAGCTTAATTTTCCTCGCTCTGAACCGCATCATTGCCAATAGAACCCCCCCATTACGTTTGTTATTTGCCGGCAATCAAATGGAAAATTTGATTTTCCAATTTATCGGTTATTTTTTGCGCTCTCTCTCTTTCCTTTATTTACAAGCAATTTAATAACAATTTATTAACAACAAAAATGTTTTTCTTTTTTTATTTGCAGATCTGAATTGATTTTCAACAAACTATTACAACTGCCACTTACGAAGTAGCAAAAAAACTTGGACAACAGCAGCAACAACAATAATAATAAAAAGCCAATAAAATAAAAGAGTGTAGAAAAAAAAAACGCTTATAATCCTGAGTAAAACAAGAGGGGGCGTGAGAGAGAGAAAAAAAAACAATAAAACAATTGTGTAACTGCTGCAGCAACAAAGAGAAACCCTATCGCTGTGTGTTTAGATGGCAGTGCAATAAAAGAAACTAGCCAAAGCAAAATTAACAAAGAAAGCCACTTGAACTTCTGTTGCAAAAAAAAAAAAAAAAACAACAATAACAACAAAGTAAAATGAAATTTAATAAACCCTTAAATCTGAAGTTCAATAGATTCGCCCTTTAATACCGAATCGTGTTGCCACAACAGTGGCTCCACAAAGTGCGGCAGTCCTCAATCGTATCGCAGCCTCGCCAAGCCCATCCACCCACCACTTAGCGGTTACAAATGCTTCATTGCCATTCGATTCGGTGAAAACAATTGCGTTTGACAGCCAGCAATCTGTTACTGATGTCGTTGTTGGTTTTTGTTTTCTTTTTTTCCACGGCTTGCCTCAGTGCAAGTGGGACGAAAACTGCAACAACAACAACAAGAAAAACTCTGGCAATTTGTTATAAATTTGTAACAATAAATGAATAGAATTGCCTGCAGTTTTTGTCGATGTTCACCCCCGCACAGGCACACAGCAAGCTAAAATCAAATTGAAAAGATAGATAGATAGACGAGCGAATGAAACCCCGAGGGTCCTAAAATAAATATACACAACAACGCACAATACCCTCAGAGAAGTATCGAAAAAATAAAAAATAAAATAGCAACAACAAAAACAACAACATCACAGAACGCCAATAATCAACATTATGTGGCTGAATAACTGCAATTGCCTGACAACGAGTCAAGCACCATTGGTAACATCGGGCTCGTCAAAATTGGCAACATCGGGAGCAACAAAAACAACAGCCTCAACAGTGGAGGCATTGGCGTTAAACTCAGCGACGAGGAGGGCTACAACAGTGCCAACAATAAAACAGGCGGCAACAACCACAGCCATTGGAGGCTGTCAAAAATGCAATGCGGCAACCCAGACAACATTGGCGCTATCAACAAAAATTACAACAGCAACAACAACAACAACTATTTTAACAAAACGAAAAACATTGTCAATTTACAGAAAATCATTGACAACAAGCGGATCAGTGACAACATGGCCCCCAGCAGCACCACCACCAGCAGCAGCATCTTCTTCATCATCACCACCAGCAACAACAACAACAACCAGTCGAATGCCATCAATAATTCCAGCAACAATTTTAACACAGACTGCAACAGCAACCACAACCAGCTGTCATAGCTCGCCGGCATTTACAACCAGGCCCACCTCCTCCAGTCCCGCCCCCTGGTGCAGTAAAACCCAGCCCAGCTCAAGCAAATGGTGCCAGCGGTGGTGGGCCCTACCACAATTCCTACAGCATAGGTATGGTCACTTAACCTTAACCACCACCACTACGTTACTGGTCACCCTCTTCACCCTACTCTCACTGCCACCCGCTGCCCATGTCAATGCCTCCACATTGGATATCTATAAAAATGCCCGACTGGGTCATCGCATTGTTCAGACACGTTACGGGCGATTGCATGGCCTAATATTGCCATTGGACAGCTATCGATATCTGCGTTCGGTGGAGGTATTTTTGGGTGTACCCTATGCCACGCCACCGACCAAACAAAATAGGTAAGTTAAATATTTATGAAATACAGGTAGGTCGGGATTCCATCCCACCCCCACGTGTAAACAAAAACAATGTGGCTTTACAATAACAATAACATCAACACCATGTAACAGAAACATCAACAACAACAATATCATATAATAATGTAATAACAAACAAATGGGAATTACGCCAGATCGAACGTTTTAATAGTTAACATTTTTCTGGGGAAAATAGGGAGTACAATTAAAAATTTTAAACCATTTTGGGGATGAATAAAAAAATGGGAAAATAGGAAACGACAGACCTTAAAGTCTTCCATAGAGAGCAAGAGATCTCAAGGTATTATTTTTGATTTAGAAGATCTTGAAATCTGCTAAAGGTCCTCTAATCTCAATAGAATAGCTTAAGGTCTTATATTTTTCAAGAGAAGAGTCTAAGATTTTCAGTTTCTTAATAGAAGAAAAGGAAAAGAGCTTAAGGTCTATATATTTCGCAATAGAAGAGCTTAAGGTCTTCTATCTCTCAATAGAAGAGCTTAAGGTCTTCTATTTCTCAATAGAAGAGCTTAAGGTCTTCTATTTCTCAATAGAAGAGCTTAAGGTCTTCTATTTCTCAATAGAAGAGCTTAAGGTCTTCTATTTCTCAACAGACTCTAAAAGACCTCAAGGTCTTCTGTAGACTTTAGAAGACCTCAAGGTCTTCTATAGACTCTAGAAGACCTCAAGGTCTTCTATAGACTTTAGAAGACCTCAGGGTTTTCTATAGACTCTAGAAGACCTCAAGGTCTTCTATAGACTCTAGAAGACTTCTAGATCTTCTATGGAACCTGGAAGACCTCAAAGTCTTCTATAGACTCTAGAAGACCTCAAGGGGTTCTATAAACTCTAGAAGACCTCATGCTATTCTGTAGACTCTAGAAGACTTCTAGGTCTTCTATAGAGCCTAGAAGACCTCCAGGTCTTCTGTGGAGCCTAGAAGACTTGCAGGTCTTCTATGGAGCCTAGAAGATCTTAAGGTCTTCTATGGAGCCTAGACGACCTCAAGGTCTTCCTGGTGTCTAGAAGACCTCATGGTCTTCTCTGATGTCTAGAAGACATCAATATCAACACCTCTATTCTCTCCTAGAAGACCTCAAGGTCTTCTATGAAGCCTAGAAGACCTCATGGTCTTCTCTGGTGTCTAGAAGACCTCTTGGTCTTCTCTGGTATCTAAAAGACCTCATGGCCTTATCTGGTGTCTAGAAGACCACATGGTCTTCTATGGAATCTGGAAGACTTCATGGTCTTTTATGGAGTCTAGAAGACCTTGTGGTCTTCTCTGTAGAAGATCACAAGGTCTAGAAGACTTCAAGGTCTTCTATGGGGTCTAGAAGACCTCGAGGTCTTCTGTAGCCTTTAGATGATCTCACTGCTTTCTATAGAGTCTAGATGACCTCAAAATTTTCATAAATTGAAAAACTTTCCCACTTTCCTAAAATCACATTTTCCTTGCCCCTTTATTCTCTTTTATAATTCTCTTTTCTTAATTATTCTTTTAATTTACCTTTAATAATAAATTTGCCATCCACTAAGAGAAGAAAATGAACACCCAGAATGTGGTGGAGAACATAACTCTATTACCAGCCGACAAACGTTAATTAAGCAGGCGGCAATATAGAAACTAAGTTTATGCCACGAACAGACATACTGTCGTCGTATCCATCGTCTGAAGCGAAACGAATGAAACAACAACAAAACGAAAACGCATAAACTTCGTTCTGCCAGGCAATAAAAATTGACGTCTCTTTATTTGAGTTAGAATCAAAGGCTATAAAACGAATTGAGAGAAATGCCTAAAAACTTTAACATTTCAATGCCATTTTGGGCAAAAGTTTACAGAAATATGGCCACGAAGTTGGAAGCCAGAAAAAAAAACAAAATACAACACAACATAAAATTAAGGACCATAAAACGTGCTGGCATCGAGAACATGAGAATCGCATAAAAACCATACAAACAAAACTCAATAATTTTTTATGACTTATGACCAATATTTTTTTTTTCGGTGCTGTGTCGAATGTTTTTCAACAAAAATTGTATGGCTAACAACAAAACTAAGTGACGGCCAAATTGCGGCGGGGGAGCTTATGGAGGAAGTGAACCTAAACAAATGTTTCACATTCATTAACACTTTGGGCTGTTTTCCGTATTTTTTTTTTCTATTTTTCGATGATGTATGTTTTGTTCCTTTTGTGGTATGTATTAGCATGATTGTGGGAAAAGGGGATGAGGAAAAAAAGGATACAACTATAAACTGTAACATTAAATCATGTACACTGGAAAATACAACGGAAAAATGGTGTGAGCGGGATTTTATAATTCTAACCCATACTCGAAAGCCATTGGATAATAGTTTCCTTTTTTTCAAACACAAAACCAATGCAAATAAATGTATGTGGACAAAGGGAGATCCATATTTTCAATAAGGTCAGAAATCTCAACAATATTTGTTTTTATTGAAAAATGAGAGAATTGGGAACAGGACAACGGATGAATAAGGTCAATATTGACACAAAGATGTGACATTTTTAGGAAATGGGTGAATGGAGTATTTTATGAAAGGATTTTGGGTAGTTTTGAGGGGATGTATTTCTCAAAAATATTTGAGCTTTATGCTTCTGAAATTTAAAGAAAATTTTTATAGACTTTCCGAGATAGGTATATGGCGGCGAATTTAATAACCAAATAAACCAAAATTTATGTGAAATTAGGTTATATTACCTTGCGAAACCTTCTTTAATGGCTTGGACCCACTAAGGATGTGTAGACTTTTAAGGTCTTTATTCTATGAAAAACCTAGACTGCTGTCCCTCAAACCCCAGAAATTCGAAAATTTCAAGATTATATAATTTGGTTGGACATTGTGCAGAAACCGCAAAAATACCCATAATCCTCTGTATGGAGATTATACCAATTAGTCAATCAGAATCGAGCATTTTTCAAAAAAAAAAAAAAAAAAAATTAACAGACCTACCAAGAACCCCAAATGACAAATTTCAGTTGATTTGGTTTGAAACTGCAGCGAAAATCTTCAAAATGCAGGAAATCTGAAGTAGGCCAGTAGAAAATTTGTTTTTAATTAAGACATCTTAAAAATACCGAAAATCGAGAGGTTTTGTTATGTGGGGATTATTCCAGTATAGAACATTTGTTTTTTTTTTTTTCAGGGAAAAACAGGCATACCAAGAACCCCAAGCCAAGTCAAGTTTCAGCTGATTTGTAGCAGAAACCTTCGAAATGCGGGAAAAAACGGGAGATACCGTTATATGGGTCTGTATCAATTAGTGAAACTGTAGGAAATTTTTTGGCGTGGAGAGAAACTCAAATTTAAAGTTGCAACAAAAAAGCTGAAAATCGGGAGCTACTGTTATAGTGGGGCTACACCAATTAGTGGATTTGTAGCGAATATTTTTTGCAATGAGGGAATAGACCTGTCGAAACCCCCTAATTGCCAATTTTCAGCTGATTTGGTTGAAAAATTTGGAAGAAATCCTCAAAATACCGAAAATCGGGATGTACCGTTATGTGGGGACTATATAAATTAGTGGACCTTTAGCGAATATTTTTTGCAGGATGAGAACAGACCTTCCAATAACCGCAAATGTCAAGTTTCAGCTAATTTCGTTGGAAATTGTGGAGAAATCTATATATAGGGGCCATATTAATTAGTAATCCTATAACTATATTTTTTACAAGGAGAGAACTGAGCTACAAAGAACCTCAAATGTACGATTTTAGCTGATTTGGTTGGAAATTGGAAAGAAATCTTAAAAATATCGAAAATCGGGAGGTACCATTAAATGGGGGTTATACCAATTAGTAATCCTGTAGCGAATATTTTTTGCAGGGTGAAAACAGACCTCCCAAGAACCTCAATTTTCAAGTTTCAGCTAATTTGATTGGGAAGTGTGGAGAAATCTTCAAAATACCGAAATTCGCGAGGTATCGTTATATAGGGGTTATACCAATTAGTGGACCTGTAGCGAACATTTTTTACAACGAGAGAACTGAGCTACCAGGAACCCCAAATGTAAAGTTTCAGCTGATTTGGTTGCAAATTGTGGAAGAAATCTTAAAAATACCGAAAATCGGCAGGTACCATTATATGGGGGTTATACCAATTAGTAAACCTGTAGCGAATATAGGATGAGAACAGACCTTCTAATAACCGCAAATGTCAAGTTTCAGCTAATTTGATTGGAAAGTGTGGAGAAATCTTCAAAATACCGAAAATTGGAAAATTCCATTATCTGGGGGCTATACCAATTAGTGGACCTGAATCGAACATTTTTTTTTTTTTTCGGCGAGATAACAGACTTACCAAGATTCCTCAAGAGGTACCGTAATGTGCGGGTTATAACAATATGCGGATCTGTAACGAACATTTTTTGCAAGGAGAGAACATACCTGCCGGGAACCTCAATTTTCAAGTTTAAATTGTCAAGTTTCTTCAAAATAACGAAAATCAAGAGGACCATTATTTGAGGACTATACCATGTAGTGGACCTGTAGCGAATATTTTTCTCAAGAAAAAACCAGTCCTTTAAAGAACCCCAAATATCAAACTTCAGCTGATTTGGTTTGGCACTGTGGCAGAAACCTTTAAAAATAGCGAAAATCGGGAGGTACCGTTACATGGGGGTTATACCAATTAGTGGACCTGTAGCGAACATTTTTTACAAGGAGAGTACAGAACTGGCGGGTACCCCAATTGTCAAGTCTTAACTGATTTGGTTTAAAATTGTGGCTGAAACCTTTAAAATACCGAAAATCGGGATGCACCGTTTTATGGGGGCTTTACCAATTAGTGAACCTGTAGGGAATATTTTGTAGGACTATTTTGCGGGGGGCTATACCTAAAAGTGTATCCCATTTTCAACACCAATACGCCGATGCATATAATATAAAGCTTTATGCCAGACAGAGAACATGGCTAAAATGATATTCTGATCAGAAACCCATTTACAGTTAGGGGTCTCCGA